AATTTTTTTAAATCCTTGAAGGTTTGCATATCTCTTCTTGCACCGACTACAGCATGAGCCTCCGCTGGGAACTTCCATGTGTGTCCATGTGTCACAGTAAATCAGCTCAGCTTTCCTACCCGGGCTGGGGAGAGCACAAGAACAAAGGGCCAGAGCAGAAAGGGCAGTCATGAGAGGAGAGGAGAGTCCTCCCAAGCCACAAAGAAGGCAAGGCAGCACTGTGGTCAGGCAGGGTGCAATTATGGGGGGACGGAAGGCCAGCAGAGGGGCAGCGGGACCCCGGGAGACAGCCCAGGGGAGGGAGGAGGAGGTATGGCCCCAGGAAGAGTGGCTCCAAAATGATGACCCTATGGAGCAACCGTGAATTTCTTTAATCAACTGATTTCCTTGGTGTCTAAAATGCCTCATTTAGCAAGACTTGTTCTGGGCTGAAACTGAATTGGTGTAAGTGACAAATGCTTGAATTTGGGGGGAATATATCTCTCCACTGGCTTCTCCAACGTAATTGGGAGGGAAGAAAAGATACATGTTAAGGGCTCTTCATCAGATTCAATTTGGGGGTAGGTCCTGACTTCCCTCCTGATCCACACTCCACCTCCTACACACACACACACACACACACACACACACACACACACACTTAGACAATGGCAGAGATCTGGCTTCTTTCTCAAGAGAGGCACCAGGACCACAGATGAGGCAGCTGTCAGGGAACTAGGCTATAATCAGCTTTAACTGGCTTACAGCCGACAGAGGACACAGACCCTCTTATTTCTACGGTAACAGGTCAGGCTGCTGACCCTGGGCTAAATGTGGGGGGTGGTGTTGGTTTCTAGTCCCAACATCTTCCTTATGCAGGATCTCAATGCAAAACTTACACTGCCAGTCTCAAGAACTTAGAGATGCACATAGAAGAGGGTACTTTAAAATTCTAGACCATGGCTTCAATTACATGTAACATGTTACCCCCGGCATGATTTATCAGGACAGTAAATCAATGAGACAGTAAAAGGAAAAGTTAAAACACAACTAAAAATGGGTTTTTCAGGCGAGTCTGAAATGCTACAGATTGCTAGTTAAGAACAGTATCCCTTTTCTCAACCTAAGTGTTAGAGCCCCACCTCTTCACCAGCATCACAAACTGAGTGCCATGTAACTTAGAAACTAAGGTGAAATGTGCAGGCTATGCAGGTGGCCAAATATGAGTTGTCTCTATGTGGTTGAGCTGTTTTGGTGTGGCAGGACAACTGACCCTTCCCACGGCCCCAGAGGTCTATTGTAAAAAGATATGGACTAGTTGAGATTAAAGTCTCCATATCTGTACCACGAAGAAGAAGAAGAAGAAGAAGAAGAAGAAGAAGAAGAAGAAGAAGAAGAAGAAGAAAAGAGAAGAAAAAGGAAGAAAAAGAAGAAAAGAGAAGAAAAAGAGAAAAAGAAGAAAAATAAGAAAAAAAAGAAAGAAAAGAAAAGAAACAAGAAAAAGAAAAGAAAGAGAAAGAAAGAAAAAGGAAAGTAAAAAAAGGCATTCACTCGAATCTTACAATGGGAGGTGGGAGTGGTGGGTGGGTGAGGGTGGGGATAGAAAAGCAAGGGAAAAATCTAAACAGCAGGATACGACAATAAATGGGAAAACAGCAAGAGAAAAAGCACACTAGGTTAATATAGGAAAACTAGTTCTTTATTGAGAGATTGTATATTAGTATTAGTGGATTCTGTGTGTAACAATGTCATCATGCACACGATACAAAAAAAAAAGGCTGGGCCCACCATGCTTCGGAAGGGCAACAGAACAAAAGCAGCGTACAATGAGCAGATGGCCCGGGCTACACGACCACAGTACGTTTCAGCAGGGTGACATCTCTAACCGAGCGCTGTACATTGTCAACTGGGGGATGTAAAAAAATACAGATCATGCTTTAGTTTTAGTACAAGAAAAGGTGAAAAAGATACACAACCAAAAGGATATTTGATACAGAAAAAATTACCCACAAAATAAGAACAGGAAGTAATTCAGCACAGCAGAACACGCTATCCCTGTTTAATGGAAAACCATTTTGCTAGGGATTCTTTTTTCCTTCTTCCTTTTTTTTTTTTTTTTTCTCGCTTTCTTTGCAGATTGCCAAATGGCAATCTGGGGCAGCCACTTGGGACTTGATTTTTGGAAGGGCCCTCGAAGTAGGGACCTTATTCTTACATTACTGCCGTTGTTTTGTTTCAGTTTTCGAGCAGGTCCGGCTGGTCAGGCGGCAGAAGGGAGCCGGCTGTTAAAGGGGCAGCTCTGAGGGCCAGGGCGGATGTCCAAAGATGCTCTTGACATCATACAATTAAACAATTAAGACACCATAGCTAGGGCTCCCCATGAAGCCAGGGACCTTGCTGCACCAAATTTTCAGAGGCTATGGAGTGGCATCAACTGTCATTTCATCAAAGATTTTCATACATGTATACTTATTATTTTTTGCCTCCGACTAAACGTACTCTCTCCACTCATGCCTGGGTGCTGCCAAGAAGCGAGCTGATGGCCACCCAGATAAGTGGGAAACGGGGTGCCCAGAGCCTCCAAGCCAAGGCAAAAGGAATCCACTTAACAGGGATTTACAGTGCAATGTACTCAGCTAAACAAGATGAAGATACAAAAATGGTTATTTCTCTACATCTATTCTGAAATGGCCTACATCCTATACTACTACAATGGAAACTAAAAAGAACAGACTTAAGCTGGCAAGCTATCTAATAGTTTTACAAGAAGATTGTGGTGTAGGACCTTGTTGGGTTAAGCATTAGTATCCTCTATCGAAAGGTCATGAATTCTTATCTCATCGTGCTAAATTTTACCCACAGCCCAACTCACCCTCAGCCCTTGAATTTCCTGTGGGCGTGTTTGCCATGAAAGTAAACTTTGACAGAGGGGCAAAATTTATCTTGGGGGGGGCAGGGGGGGATTGGAGGGAGGCATATTAAAAATAAAATTTAAAGGCAGCTGAGCAATTTGAATTTCAAAAACGTAAAATCGGCATCCTGCAAGGGTATTTAGAGATCCGTGGTATTAATGAGGATGATAATGATTTAATCAGGATAATTATACTTTCAGGCTCAACATCCTTCTTAATCATTTTTGAATTTCTGCCTAGTGTAATGCTCCACACCCGTTTTAAGAGGAAATGCCAAGTAAGAAGACATAATTTGTGTACTGGGGGAGGGGGTTGGCATTTCCAGGGAGAGCTCACCAGGGCACCCCCCCCTTCCCGCCCGGCCTACTCCTCACACACCCCCTCCACACCCCCTCCACCGCTAGGCCGGCCTGAGATAGGGATACTGCCGCTTAAATAGCAATGCTTTCCTCAGATGGAGACAGGAGATGGTTAAGAGGGGTGTCACAATACAGCTAAATGCGGAGGCAGAAGGGTCACAGCGCACACAGCAGCGAGTTGACCATTCACTGAGCTACACAATGAAGAAAAAAAAAAGATTTGATAAATGCAGAATGTCATCATTCTATCATCACACGAAAAAAACTGCGGTTCAAACAGGCCTAAGGGGGCCAACCTTGCCTTTTCGGTTCTGGGGAGAGGCTTAGGGCTGGGGACAGCTGGTCTGGCAGAAAGAGGGCCGGGCTTTCATTTTCTTGCCCAATCGGGCCCCTGGGGCGCTCTGAAGCGCTGGCCCCGCGACCCCACCCCCTGCTCTGACTCGGTGGAGCAGCCCTGGTCGCAAAGGGAAGACATCATTCTGTGCGTGAGGGAGGGGGAGTGGGGGAGGGCCTGAGCCAGCAGGGATTTAAGCAGACTTGGAGTGGGAGAGGGTAGCAGAAACATTTCCAAGAAGAGAAATGTGAGTCCAGAGGCAGAATACAAAAAGGAAAAAAAAAATGAATCTAAATGCATCTCGGATTCGCTTTGGGAGGTGGGAAATTTTGATTAAAAGGAAATGGAAGAAATGTGGAGGGGGGGGTGGGGGGGGAGAAGAGGGGGAAATCAAGCTATTGTTGGAGCAGAAGGTAAGGGAAAGGGGATGTGGGGAAGGGGACCGTGCAAACACACCCCATATATCACAGTTAAAAACAAAGCCGGCGCCGGCCTGCTGCTTTGTCAACGCCTGCCCAGGGCAAAGGCCCGGCGTGGGGGCAGCTTCCCACCTCATCCGCACACACAGCGCAACACCCGAGGGCCGGGCACCCCGCTCCGGCCGGGACCAGGGGTGCACAGCAGTGCATGTCTGACTCCGAGGCGCGCACACACCTCCACACACGCGCACACACACACACACACACACACACACACACACACATCCAAGCGTTTTGAATCCATAGATGCAACTGTCATACAAAGACAATGGGGGTGGGGGTGGGTAGCACAAGGCGATACAAAAAAACGGGGGGGGGGGGTTAAGGGGGAGAAAGGCACGGGACGGGACGGGACGGGGAAATGGTGCAAGTGCCCACCAGAGGGTGGGGGCTGGGGCATGGGCTAGGGCAGATCCCGGAGCCCAGCTCGGCAGCCGGCGGTAGCGGTGACCAAAAGATGAAGGGGGTGCAAACACAGATAACACAAAAACACACATATGCCTCAAAACAAACACAAACACAAAACAGCACCGAATCACAGAAAACCAAGTATGCTTGCACACACACGCGCACGCGCGCACGCACACAGCCATGTATCTCTCTCCTCCTTCCGATCACACGGGGCTAGGTATTAGGGGCAGGGGCTGGGATTCGGGGCCACCGCGTCCGCCGCAAGGAATAAAAAATGGGGCTGGGGAGGGAGGGACCCAAATTCGCCAAACCCTAACTTCACTACAAGAGCCCCCACGAGGGCGGCCACCCCCACACTGGGGGGTCCCCCGGGAGGGCCAGGGGAGAAGCCCCCGCTCGCCCCGCGTCCCCGCGGGTGTGCCCCGAGCCCCCCGCCGCCCGCGGCGCCCGCCCCCGCCCCCGCCCCCGCCCCGGTGCCCGCGGCGATCCACGCTCCGAAGCGGACCCCGAAAGGAAAAAGCGATACCTCTGTTTCGCACAGAGCCAAACACTGGAAGCACGAGATAGCCGACGTGGACCAGGACCATCCTGGCTCCTCGAGCGGCGGCGGCGGCGGCGGCGGCGGCGGCGGCGGCGGCGGCGGCGGCGGCTGCGCGCGGGCCCTTTGTGGCGCGGCTCCGGGGCGCGGGCGCGGGCGGCGGCGGGGCTGCGGGAGCCGCCGGGGCGGGAGGCGGAGCGCGGGGCGCGGGCGGCGGCGGGGCGGCGGCTGGCGGGGAGACAGATGGCCCATGGAAAGGCTCCCTTCCCGGCCCCTCTCGACATTCAAAGGCGCTGGGGCCGCAGCTGCCGCCACACAAAGGCGCGCGCAGCCAATGGGAGCGGAGCGCAGCGCGGCGCGGCCTCGCCGGAACCGCGGGGGACAGCGGGGACCGCGGGCGCGCGGGTGGCGACGGAGGCGGGGGGCCGGCTGCGCGGGCGCGGGCGCGGGGAGGGCGCGGGCAGGGCGCGGGCGCGGGGAGGGCGGCCAATCGCCGAGGCCCGCGGCCCGGCGCGGGGAGGACGAGGTCAGCCCCGCGGGGCGCGTGGAGCCGGGCGCGGGCCCCCGGCCGCCCGCAGGCCCGAGCGCGCGCGTGCAGCGCCCCGCACACACACGCGGGCGGCGTGCACGCGGGACGCGCACACAGCGGGCGGGGGACGTGCACCCCGGCATGTGGAGGTGCGTCCGTGCCTGCCGAGACACTGCCCGGAGGCCCTTGCACACCGCGCACAGGTCACTCGGGGACGTGCGCCCCGGGGCTGGCGCACGTGCGGAGCCCGACTGCGGGCGCAAGTGAAGGTGGAAAGCGAGCGGGCAGCCGCACTCGGGACACACAGACGTGCACACCCCGACAGCCTTGTTAAGGCAGGACACGTGCCAGGAGCACATTCCCAAAGACACACAGAGGGGACACACAATGCAGATATGTACCCTCCCAGGCTCCCTGCCCGTGGCAACGCTTTGTTGCTTTTGCAGAGCACAAAACTCACAATGATTATTCGCTGAATCGAAATCCACTCACACACTGAAGTATGTGCCCCGATTCTATACAGAGACACGCTCACCCAGAAAACCCAGAGCCGCTGGTCACCGTTGGCCCTGCTCTGACACAGGCACAAACAGCCATGTGCACAGACACGCCCACTCCCTCAGCCCTGAAGGCACACATGGCGACGGGGCTAGCGGGCTAGCGGGCTCCTCCGATTCACAGTGGGGGCACAGCCGGGGGTGGGGTCACACGTGGGCCGTGGCTGGCCTGCCAGGTACAAGCCAGTCGAGTGAAGAGCCATCTGCCGCCAAGCCCTGCTGTCGGGTGCGCGGCTAAGACTGTGTCCGTGCACACTCAGCCCGGGACCTGCTATGAAAATCCCCAGCACGACCCTCAGAGCAGGCCCATAGTCCACACCCAGGCCAGGATTCGCTTGTGGAGCCCACCGCGGGCAGAAAGATGGAAGACGCTTCGGACTTTGGGACTTGTCTTCAAAACCCACTGGCTTCTTTATTTGATGAGTCTGGTAAAAATTAGATGGTAAAATCACAGTAGGTACAGCTAAAAGGAATCTAATACAACCCAAACCTTCTCCACATTTTAAAGACAAGGGAAGGAGGATCATTCAATACGTGATGTGCTTGCATCGGGGCACAGGGGTGCCATGCATGGCCCCCTAACATCCTGATCCTTGTAGTGCAGAGGGGGCCCAGGAGGTAAATAAATGCCATACCAGAAAGCCGGCTAGGTGCAGAGGCGGAGCTTCGCCTATATAGGCTGCTGGGGAAGGGGACACCTAGAAGGAGCACCTAGCCCAGCTGGGGGGAGGGCAGTCGAGTTGATGGCAGAAAAGTGACTTCCAAACTGAGACAAAGAATGAAGAACATCAGGAGTGAGGTGAGGCAGAGCAGAAGACACTAAAGGGAAACCGTAGCCTGGCTTTGCCAAGACAGCAGCCGTTTTCCCAGGGGCAGGATCCCAGGGCACATGGTTCTCTCTCTCCACCCCCCAAGCACATGTAACCCTCAGACCTCCCCCCCAAACACCTGTGGCTGCCCCCCAGATGAAGTGGGGGGAGAAACCTCCCACCAGGCCCAAGCCCCACTCTTGAGGGTCGTTTCAATAAGTATCTGCCACCAGCTCTTTCCTGTTTTCATTACCCATCAAATAAACATAATGCTGCCACTAATAAACATCTTAAAAAGAGAAGACCTTACCAAACATCTAACTACTAGAATTTTTCCTGTTCTATTTCAGGTTTTGCCAATATGCCTAGAAACTAGATTTATCATCGTAATCTACATATTTTTTATTCTGCATTTTCATCTTAACATTTTATCACAGACAATTCCCCATCCTTCTACATAATTATTTTCATGATTTTCATTTTAAATGTTTTCATAGTATTCCAACTAGTGAAGGTTCCGTGAAATTACTTAATCATATTCTATTCCTGGGCATTCCTCTTGCTCCATTACTGAAGATCATGCAATAAATTTCATATCTATAGCTTGCTGCTTTTGTTGAACTGTAAGCTTAGAACACACTTCTAGGGTTGGCATTCTTTTTTTTTTAATATATTCATTTATTTGAGAGAAAGTGCACGTGCATGCAGGAGAACAGCTGGAGAGGCAGAGGGAGAGGAAAAGACTCCCTGAAGAGCCCAACCAGCTGGGCTCCATCCCAAAACCCTGAGATCAACACCTGAGCAGAAATAGTCAGCTGCTTAACCAACTGAGCCACCCAGGCACCCCTAGAGTTGGCCTTCTTAAATTGACAAATATGGAAAAACTTCATAGGGGTCTTGCCACATATTGCTGTTGAAAAGATTAAACTTACTGTCAGTACTACCAGCGATACATGATATGCCAACTTCTCTGTAACCTTGCTAGCTTTGAGTATGGCATTATTATTATTATTATTTATTATTATTATTATTATTATATCTTGCTTTATACCAGACCATCTCACAAAGGCTTATATGACTACCCAATCTGACCTTAACAGCAGGCTAGGCTATAAACTCTGAAACCAGATTGCCTGCACCTTCTGGCTCTGCTACCACTAGCTTGGACATGTTTCTTATCTTCTCCAGGCCTCAGTTTCAATATCTGTAAAATGGGCATGATGATCGCAACCTTCCTCATAGGATTATGACCAGGTGAAGTGCGTGCTTGTGGAGTACATACAATAGTGCCAGCAATTCAGTCCTTAGTTCTTGCCCTTCGTCCTTAGTTCATGCTCAACCGTATCTCCCTGCCCACTACATCTTGCCCTCCTGTTACTGTTTATGATTGCCCTAGTTAAAGCATTCAGTGTTGGGACACCTGGGTGGCTCAGGACATGATCCTGGAGTCCTGGGATCAAGTGCCACGTCGGGCTCCCTGCATGGAGCCTGCTTCTCCCTCTGCCTGTGTCTCTGCCTCTCTCTCTCTCTCTCTCTCTCTGTCTCTCTGTCTCTCATGAATAAATAAATAAGATCTTTTAAAAAAATAAAGCTTTCAGTGTAAATGATACCATAACATGGAACATCCATCAGACAAAAGCTAACATCAATTATTTCCCACTAAACCTGGAGAAATCATGAGCCCAACTACTAACTGCACCATTTTACTCACACATCAGAGAAACATAACAGACAGATGCCTGCATATACAAAGAGGCCCACTTTCACACACAGCCATGAGCTTCCTGCTAAGGAACTATTCTGGATTAGGAGGAGGGCTTTCATTATCCACGAAAGCTTGGGTGTTTACCATTCCTCAGCCTTAATGCAACCACCATCTAGGTAATGGAAATAGCAATAACACCCATCAGACTACCTCAAAGTTTTCTGGTAAGGATCAAATGAGGAGATAGCTGTGGAGTCTGTAAAGAGTACAGAAAATTCTAGAAGCATAAGTATAGGGGTACCCCCAAGAATGAAACTCAATAGTTGTTATGCCCATCTCCTTGTTTTATGGATAAGGAAACTGAGGCTCAGAACTGGGGCCATGAACACGGGTGCCACCATTCCTGGCTGAGTTAGAATGAGAATACCCATTTCCCGGCACATAACCTAGTATTGCTGCTACTTCCCACTGGTTCTCCGTCCTGCTGGGACAACTGCTTTCCACTCTTCTTCCCATTAGTTAAAGTCCACAGAAGTACAACAAAGCAGATTCCCAAGGATAGGAAGGTTTGTAGAAATATTTCATTCATTGGGGTTTTTTTATTTATGTGTGCTTCCCCCTCCCCTCCGCCAAAGTCAATACCTAGTGCATGTTTGCAGGCTTAACAAGAAGAAATGTCCAAAAAATGAAAGGTGAAGGTAAATCTGTAACTCCTGATCCAAACTGGAGAAACGTGACCCTATAAGGTAGAAATAGCACTATCACCTTGAACCCTGCCCCACACCGTGATTCCTCGTTCTCTTTTGCCTCCACCTTGGCCACCTACAGAAGGGGTTCCACAGAACTTCATGTTTCAGGGGCCCAGACGCATCTGTTCCAAGAACTGCTCCTCTGGAGCCCAACAGTAGATCTCGGTTATGACCGCCGTTGCCCTGTAATCAACAAGTGGAAGCAAATCCAGCACAATCAGCCATGTAGATATCAACAATTTTCCAAGACAGGTGACGGAATTCCTGCTCTTCTCCCCATTGGGTTGGCATCAGGTAGACGCAGCTTTGAAAATCCATGCAAGACAGCTGGACTTCAGCAGATGCCCCTCCGTGCCACACATGGCAGGAGTTCCAGACGCAGCCTCTCGCGGGAAGAGGCACAGCTAGGCCCTGACAAGCCCTGGGGAGTCAGGGTGTAACCACGAGAACATAAAGAGGGATCTAAGAAAAAACTGCCCATAATCAGGGATGACAGTGAGTCTGGCCGGAAGTCAAGGTGGCCTTGAGTTCTCAGGAAATCCTTCAGGACAGAGCAGGGTAGGGGAGGACCCTGATGGATGCATCCATTTGCAGCAGGCTGAGAAAATGAGAGAGGCAAGCAAACCATGAACCCCGGCCCAGCAGCAAACAGAGGAGAAGGAGAAGCTAGAGAGGAGGGTGAGAGAAGGAAGGGGAAGGA